GCCAGAAGATATGCCAGATAGAATGCCAGAAGATATGCCAAGACGCGTTGGAAAAATGACCTTGCGGCAAAGCGATGAAAAGCCGCTTTTTTTGTCAACTTGTGCCAGATCCTCTGCATTTCTACTCCAATAGGTCAAGTGGCAAAAAGCCAAAATCCCAATTCACAAGTCTGCTCAAACACCTGACAAAAGGTAAAGTAAAAAGGCCCGCGCTTATAAGGTTCTAACTCACCTCGAAGCGCCGACAAAGCGTCACAGTGTGAGGTGCACTCTGATTGGCCCAGATGGCCAATTAATAAATCAACGGGGCCATGGATCTCAATACGTCATGCCCTCAGCATCCAAGAATGCTCCCTGCAAGCTCAGTCAGACACAATCCCAGGACATCCTAGATCGGAAAACAAAGAGAAGTCATGGGCGCATGCTGGCCGCCTGGATCTAATTCAGCTGCGGAATCTGTGTTCACGTTTGATTAGAAGAAAGATTCACTGCGAAACGCTACAGCGAAACGACGCGAAGATTGAAGATTACATATACTTACATAATCTTACATATACTTATGCTCCTATATGTTATAAATACATACCGTATCATATTATCAATTACCATCGAGCAGTCTTTGTACGTATTTTGGCGCAAAAACTATTCAGGAAAGAATTGTTCTGTGACCTCTGGTTTTCCCCAGAGTCCACAGTCCTCACCATAGGCCAAGATACATAGGCCAAGAAGGCAGCACAACTCAGATCACCGCTAGCGGCCTGAGCAACAAAAACATCGTGCCAACGCTTTCCTTGACTTCTGCAGATACAAATGCTGTCAAATGCAGCTGTAAATTGTCATCGAGAAAACTTGACAGGGCCATCAACAAAAACAAACAGGTTTGCCATTTGGCCGATTAAAGACTAGCATAGACAAATTCAATTTGCAAATGAAAACAAGTGAGCACCTGGTTGCAGCATTTAGTTCCAGCTTCCCCAGCATGAACCTTTTCTGGTCTTCCCTAGTGGCAGCCACAAGTCAAGGCTGTCAAGGTGCTAAGACCTCATAAGGCACTCTCCAGTCCACCCCCCCTGTACTGGACATGTACAAGGTGGCCATGGTGTCCTGTACCTGGCAACTGGATGGGAGAGTGATTTTTGACAAAAGATGTTTCCCCAAAAAACAGTGCTTGGCAAAGATGCAAAGGGATGATGCTACATCATCTTTAGAAACTTTCAAAAAACACACATTTCAGCTTCTAAAAGTCACAAGTTTAAGAGAGAGAAGATTTTTGGCTCCCAGTTGATATACCCGCGTCACCTTGCTCATCCATCAAAGATGCCGCAGCCAAGGCAGCTTAAACATCGTGAACCAGACAGGCACTTCGGTCCTATTTCTGCTGCCTTCCCATCCAACATCAGCAGTCCGATGAGGGCACAGATCCAAAATAGTCGAGGAACTCGTCTTTGAAGCCCCACGGGAGGTCCTGATAAGAACTCCACCCGGAACTTTGCTAGGCACAGCAGTCGAGGTTTTCAGGTGAAGGTTGCTAAATGAGGCATTCATTTGTGGAGGTGAGCAGTTGAAAACATTGGCAAAGGTCTAGCATGATTCTTACAGTCCTATGTGACTTTTTGCACCCGTTCGAGTGTTAACAGGTCTTGAAGGAGTAGCTAATCTGCAACATGACATGCGCTATCTTGTGTGTCTCTCTACAAATGAGCAAAAGACGTGCATAGACTCAATTGGCAGCATATAATTCCTGGTAATACCCGTAAAAGCAAAGAGATTTCTAGATTCATGCCGCGATACAGAAACGATCGAGAGAAAGGCTGTAAATGATGACAAGGGAGTGATCAAACTCCGTTCGCGTTGTTTCTTCTGACCCATTCTGACCCCAACAATCGGCCAACCGGCCAGCTGTCTACCTTTGCAAGGAAAATCTCGAATGGGCTTGAAGAAACCAAACGTGATTTAAATCCAAACCTGACTTCTCCCAGTCAGTTTGGGGTCAAAGTGCTGACCACTCCTAAAAATTGATGTTCCTCAAAATAGGGGCGGCCCCAAAACCATAGGTTTCCCATAGGTTTCCCCATCAAAAATGAAGGGGGCCCCGCGGATGACCAAAAATAGCAAACTTTTGGGGTCCGTTCGTAGCTCACAACCCATTCCCGATTCATCTGGAGCTGTGGCGCCGCCCAATTCGCTTGGATCACGAATTCAGTGGCCAGCCTCAGCTGAGCTCCCCATTTTTCAATGGCCATTTGGGGTTTTTGCCTTTTTTGGGACACCGCCTTTCTCTTGACATCCAATATGACCTCATGACATTAGTTGATTATAGTTGATTTACTTGCAACATTGAAAATGCCCAAGGAAAAAGGTCCACAGCAGCCGGACAGGGATTGATGGATGTTCATCCACCCAACATTCCATTCATAGAATCTCTCAGGGTAACTGGCAAAACTTATGGGATTATAACTATACCCTGACAGTCCAAAACTATTTTTATCTTTGGAAAAGACCGTTTCTGGCTAATTCTGAAGTTTTAAATGGGGCTCCTGCGCATTTAACTGTGTTATAGCCAACACTGGCAGAACCTGCCAAATTACGCCAAATTGCCACGGATCACATCTTGACAGCCTTGTAAGCATGCAGCTAGCATCTGGGAATCCCTTCTCAAGATAGATTGGTGCTGATCACAGGTATTTTTTTGCAAAGCTTACTGGGCCACCCCTTCAAAATGCACGTTGACTGTCGCCCGCTCCTTCGCAGAACTATCCGGAAACTTTCGCAAAAATATTTCTATTCGCAGACCCCAGCCATCAGAGGAGGGCGCATCAGAGAAAAAACAAATGCCAGGGGCTGTGGCGTTTGGCTCTCGCAAAGCCTCACTTTTGGAAGCTCGGCTGCTACCTATGAGGGGACAGGGAAACGTCCGGAGTCTGGACTACAGTGTACAGCACCACAGTGAAGTGAACCAGAACCAAGCCAAAATTCTCCGCTACCCTTCTCCTGCCGGACCCTCGGGCCGCAGGGAGTTGTAGCCCTTGACAAGTGATACCTACAACCTCCCCTAGTGTAAAATTATCGCTCGACCTTGAAACTAAAGAAATTATCGGCGCTTCTCGAAAAAATGTTTGATTTAAAAATTATTGCCGTTTCACATGTCAACTCGGGGTCTATCAATTGAATCCAATCTGCTTGCAAGTATCACAGGTGTCACCTCTACGCAACGTTGGATTCCTTCAACTTTAGAACGCACACATGCTTTATCCCTTGTGTAATTGCATTACTTAAGCTTCTTGGCTTTCGCTTTGTCTTTGGCAACTTCCAGGAATTTCACACCAACCCGCCCCAATTGAATCAACACCGACAGGTTTGCAAGAATCTCCCCTGCAAAGTACTTCGATTGCCTGGCTTTAGCAGGGTACAAGCATGTCTTCGCTTCAACATTGCATATAGCTATCCATCTCAAGCAGTTCAGACTAAGCATACTCCAGTAGGAATTTGTGTGATCGTGTATATTTAGACTATCCTTCGTGAAGACAGGTGTTCACCATTCTAATCGCCCAATTTTTTCTGCAAATATCGATGGTAGAAATCGCCGTTTCAGATTTCAAGAAGAAATGCAGATTTCACAAATACTTATGTTGCGGATTGTTGTGGCGGGTTCTGCGGGTCTTTCCAAATTATGTTATTTGCTGCGGTGATTCAACTCTTTGCATCAAGTTGGATTTGCTACCAGCGAGACCAACTGCATGTAGAAACCTTGGTGTATATAAAATATAAATATGTTAATATATATATATCTTTCCGTGCGATTTACGGTGTGCACCTGCCCTAAGCAGTCGATTTTCAGAGGCGGCCTCTATCTGAAGAATCCCTGAAATTTGATCGAATTCTTACGTAATGTGGCTTTGACAAAAACGTCAAGACCTCCTCAAAATCTGATGCCTGACAACAATTGCTTGCAAACAAAAACGGTGTGCATCTGTAGGTCAATGTGGTCAGGTGATTCTCCGAACTTCTCTGTAGGCCAGAATTGGCTTAAGAGCGGCCCCCAAGTTGCAAAACACATAGGGAAATGAAAATGCAAAAATCGCTCGACAGCAATAAAATCTGCCACATTGGGAAATTTCAGGAAATTTTCCAAAGAGCACAAGAAATGCACACTTTGGAAGATGTAGGTATATGTATACAAGAATGATTCATAATCCGCCGGCCTGCCGGCGTGTCTTGTGGATCTTGCTTGTTCGTAGTTGTACTGCCTGTTTTGTCTTTGTCTTGACTAGACTTTCCCCTTGGCGCGGATTTTTGCCTCGTCTAACTTGAACCCCCCTCACCCCCATTCGCCTACTGTACCTAGCTCTTCTTCGTTTTGTCTTGACCTTTCCTTACGTTGTGGTGGGCTCAACTCTGCCCACGCCTCGCTCAACACCAGCTTGGTTTTGCACATCTTGCTGTCTTTTCGATGGTTGTTTCCGTTTTTTTTGTGTTAGCCATCGGTTTGCTCCGTCGCTTCTTATATCCAATACTTGATCCACTGGCTTTTGCGCCGAACACCTTTTACACGCATAACCTTTCTAAATATGGCCTGTTCCAAAGCCGTTCTCAATATGGCCTTTTCCAAAACCCTGGTTTACACACATGCTTTGGTTTAAACTTAAACCGTGGTTTGAGCAAGACCAATGTTTTTGCGTCCAAACCATCTTTTACACAAAGAGCTGTTTTACACAGAGCCGTGTTATCCACAAACACAATGTTTTATACAAAAATCATGTTCTTGCTGGGCCTGTGCAAGGGCTGTTTGCAGCCTACAGGATAGCTCTTTCCATGGTGGCCGGCGGAACACGCCGAAAGCGGCTAAATATCCAACTTTCGCGAAACTTTCGCACATGAAAATGTTTGCTTTCGCGAACTCGAAAACATATTTCGCGAGGGTTCCTAACACAACATGAACGGTCTTCGCTATTAAACATCTTTACAAGGACCTTTAGATTTAGATCGATCACCAACTGTAATTATATCATAGTCACATTCATAGGTACAGATCCACAGGCATGCCTATCTTTTGGTCCAGAAGCTGTATGAGGAACAGCGAGAACACGAGGATAACGAAGAAAATCAGCACCAAGCACCTCAGAGCGAGGGGCACCTCGTACTTCATGTCACCAGGGAAATTCTACACAAGTTGGCTTGCAACCCCATGAATAGTATAGTTACAAGTATCATAAACCATATAAGTGAAAGTGGAGTTTTTTCATCAACTTGACTATCGTTTGGGGCCCCACTTTGTAGAGATGGTTGAAATCCAACCCAACCCAATCCCGTATGCTGCATAAATTTGGGGTGAGACTCCCTGAATTTTGGGGTATTATGACGCTTGACGTCCTGCCTGCAAGCCACCTGACCATCCTCCCATGTACACTTAGAACAATCTATTCTGAATCAACTGGGCCAAGCACCAGAATAGAGGAATGAAGGACCACAAAATAGAGAAAAGCATACATCTCAAGTCACGGAAGATTCTAATCACGCGCACCAGCCTGGCGACAGTCACCAATGAAGTGACAGGACATGAAGGTTGGTGCCATCGTAGGTTCGGTGGAGCCACTTCTATCCAATGGCGCAAATTTGAAAAAATGTAAGACTCACGATGCCAAGCACTTGGCGATGCACTTGCTAGTTGTTCAGTCATCCTCCAAGCATACTCTCTGGTTATTTGACAGAGCATGTTAATGGAGGTTTCATAAGTCATAAGGCTACGGCTACCCCAAATCATCCAAGTCATGAAACCACGACTTAGCATATATCTCAGTAACTCTTAGATACTCTTAGTAAACCCATGGTTTCAATAGGAAACCCCCATATAGCTATGGGAAAATCACCATTCAGGTCATAGCTGCGGCCTGAGGATCCTGGATACCTTCACGATTCGAAGTGACCTGTTTGAAGCGGCACCATGGTAACCCGTGTAAAGCACCTTTAAATGGAGGATGTACATGGATTTATCATTTCTATACCATTTGAATGGCCATTTGAATGGCAAAAATGATGATACACCATTGGATCTGTTTTTCACCTTAACTTTCAGACAAACCCAAATGGACTTTGTCTTCCTCTTATCTTTCCTCACTCTTGTTTGTGCACATTCCAAACCAATGACATTCAATGGATGCAGTAGATGAAGAATCCTCCAATGAGAGTTTATGTCTAAAAATCTTGTCATTTGCTTGTGTCATTCAGTATAGTGCAGGGTCTTGTGGAAGGGCAACAGACTTTGTCTGAATTGACATGTTCAGCTGCCAGCATTTATCTTGACGACACGGAAAAAAAACAGCAATGCACAAACAGCAATGCACGTTTGAAAGACGGATATTCAACTCACAGACTCACATGCGGTTGGAGACGAGTATGGTGCTCAAAATGTCATCCCCAGGCGCCTCATGAAGTTCATATTGGCGTTGTACATATCAGCTTCTTCCGATTGCCTTGAGATTGCAGCTGCCACGGTAAGTTACGCATTTCACTTGCGGTCATAGACACGAAAATATGCTCTGGTGCACATTGACATCGACCAACAACAAACACCTTCAGGGTGCAGTTGGGGTGAGCGACATTGTTCTATAACCATGGTAATCGTTCAAAAGCCCGACATGATAAGTTGAGATTTCCTTGTAACTATGGTGATATATGGTGATATATGCACCTATACTTGGAACCAAAGATCCCCAAAGACCACACTGCTACCGAGGCGCCAAACGAAAAACATCGCCTGATCGTACACAGCCAGGACGACTAAACATAAGTCGAAGACATTCCAACCGGCATCCTGCGCGAAATTGACAAACATCTCACTTGGACGAACATCGTGGGTTTCTCAGAAAATAGCATACTCCTAAGTCCACTAGCTTATCACATACTCCTACCATCCGGAACTGAATCCCATAACGTGCAATTGGACAAGAATAAATGAACGATTCAGGTTGGGGTTCTCGGCTTAGCCCCTTGCCATTGCAGTGGAAAATAGTGCAGGTACGGATGGCTGATCAGGCCATGTATCACCAGGGAGACTAGAGCGTCTTCGTTGGTGGTAGACTCTGGACCCTGCTACCACCCCCCGCTAGATAAAAAAGGAAAATAGACGAAAATAGCAGAAATTTTACATCTGTTCAGATATTACATACACACACACACTGACATGCAAACAAACAGTTGGGTCACTTTTCACCTTGGACGCTTTCGCTGAGGGAAGACGAGTAACACATCAAATAATGGATGTTGTGAATTCATGCATTTTGGACAGTCTCCAATGGCAGGACATGGCCATAGGGCTTGTCTGAAAATATGGCACCCAAATCTACTGCTTCATCTTCATTTTCCCTCATTTTTTTCTATTGAAATTGCCGTTTTGGGGGGTGTCATCCATTTTCACCATTTTCAAATTTTCAAACATTCAATTTATTGGTACTTCTCGGCAAAATGATGCAACATATCTCCGTTCATATCTCCATCAGATCCCAATAATTTGCCAATGGTCATGGCAGCACCTCATTCCAGAAGAAGTAGGCACGGTGGACGATGAGTTTCAACCCAGACTCCACAAAATACACACAGCCTCGGTAAAAAAACATCCCATCCCCAGGACCCCCCTGGGGATCTCCCCCCAAAAATCATAAACATTGATATATATATATATAATATTGTATGTACATTATATATATATATGGTACCCCCCCTGAAGACCTACGTTTCAAGCAAATTTATATATTATATGGTATAATTATTATGATAATTGCATTTTTCTAGTAGTGTTTTGAGAAATTTGAAGTGCCTACATTTGTTGGGGCTTGCGGTGACATTAGATACCCCTGGCGGCTGGGACGAAATGAATTGTCTCAAATGGGGAATTCAGGAGACGCTCAGCGTGTTTTTTCAGTCCTTATTCAAGTAGCCTAAAGCGGTCGTGTGACATGATGTTTGGTCTCCAATCTGGAATTCTTCCAGGATGCAAAGGGTTTACCACGGCATTCCTCTGCGTACATCCTAGATCTCAAGCTCCATCTTCTTGACAGAGCATCCGCAACGCAATACCCTTGTAAGCCTTCCATTGGTCCATGCCTTGCAAGCTCCAGCAAAAAAGTCGTACTTCCATACCTATAGTTTCCCATGTGGGGGCTGTTAAATCACCCCAAAACAATTGGTAGATTTCTGACCTTAAATTCATTTCCATTGACTTCTCATCATCCAGCAGCGGTTTTCCATTGCTCCGTCCAGGCACAGAAAAAAATGTCCAATGCTGTGACCACCTGAGATCTCCGCCGGTCGGCGATGAGGTAATCAAAATTTGTATAGCACAGTACTGCTTGGGGCTTCCCCGAAAGATATGCGAAAGTCAGTTGGGATTGGGATGATCATCCCATTTTTTGGAACATAAGATTTGAAGCTACCAGCCAGAGTATACATTCCAGTCTGTATGAGTACGGGAGCCAGGCACCATGCCAAACACACACACACATATATCATATATTCTATATATATATATAAGGATTTGAAGTGACAGTGAATGATGAACATTGTGGGATTTACCACGGAGAATTGTGACTTGAGAAGGGTTTAAGAATACCTAATGCATCATTCTTGTTGCAAATGGTGTTACACTACTTGATGGCCTTCCCAAGCCCAACATCGACTGGTCAATTCGAACAACTGCCACCCATCCGGTTTTGCAATGGCTCGACCCATCTCCCATGTCCACTTCGGGGCCACTGTCCACTGTGCCATTGTGTGATTGAAAACACCAGTCTGTTGAAGAATATGATAGAAACAATGGTATGATAGAATATGATAGAAACTGTTGAAACACAAATTGCTATGATAGATGGTAGAACTAGAGCATCATTTCAATGGACCACTTGAGATTTCGAGGAGAGAAGGGGACAGCATTGGGAGTCCGTAGCACATGAGTTCAAGAAGTCATCAATCTGCCTGTTTGGGGCTGTGATGCTAGAAGGGGCAAAAGAGAGGATACTCAGAACAAAGTCTGCAATGCGGTCTTCATTCATCACAATTGACTTGGGGTGGACTGCGTATCCGAGTCCTTCTGACTGATAGAAGATAAATTTGCAACGCATATACAATTCGAGTTGCGGTGAAAGTCAATTCATGTGAAACAATCGACGTTGTCCTGCTAATGAAGCTAAAGCAAATCCGAAACATGGGGATGGGTCAAAACCAATAGTACCCCTTCTGTTCACATCAAAATAGCTGGGTTAAAATGGATGTTCATCCCCCTAAAAATGGTATTTTCATAGGTATTGATCCATAGCCACATGTCCAAATGCAACTGCTGATCATCAACCCATCCGAGCGACTGAGGGTACTGAGAAAGTCTCGTTCTGAATTGTCCAGTTGGCTGAGTACAGGATCACCCCTACATTCCTTGCAGCTCCAACGATACCCAAGGGCTGGGGAGTCTTCAGAATGGGGAACAAATGGGAAAACCCAAAACCAATGGCTTTCCTTGGAACAAATACGCAACTTTGGGATGATTTTTCACAAGTTTTTTCAAACTCTCTGCCTTTTCTCTCTTTCGTCCAAGGCGCGCCAAGATGGTGAGGGTGCAAAAGCTGCCTCTGGTGGATTGATTCAAACCATTCAGCTTCAGCCGGGCAAAGCGTGGTTGGAGGGATCAACTATATGGCTACATATGGCTACATCCACATGGAGAATCCTGATACATTTTCACAACATGGGTCCAGTCACTGGTAAAAACCCGCGAAACATGGCCGATGCATGTCAACCAGGATGAGTGACTCATTCGCCACGGTAACCCAACAAACTCCAGTGGTTCAGGCTTAGTGGATATGAGTGCTTCATAGTGGTTCATAGTGTTTCATGTTCCCCGTGCAACTTGGCGGAAAATGGTGACATATGGGTGACATATGGTGACCGCGAAGCATTTCAGCCAGGCACAAAACCATGTGCTCTGAAGGATGCAATGGCAACAGCCACGTCTTTCCTGGGACGATACGATGCGATACGATGCGATGCTGGGGCTGAAGTAAAAATGCTACCAGGAGTCCATTGGAGTTGCTGTGAAGCAACAAGTCCGGAGAAATACCATGTGGTTATTTAACATAGCCATAGAAAATCACCATTTTTAATAGGTAAACCATCTATAAATGGGCCATTTCCCATGGCTATGTTTAATAACCAGAGGGTATATATTATATAACCAGCAACTGAAAGACTCAAACACATATCAAAACCACTAAACCACTGCAAGCAATGGGGATGTCGATGGTGATTTCGCCGTTCCTAGCATGGTTCCTATCCAAACAAGTCTGAGGTCGCTACAGGCTCTTCCAGACCTGGATACCCAATGGGATGGCCCCACGCCCCATGTGGCCCATATAATGTCGGATCCTGATTCGAGTAGGGGGGCCCCCACCCCCAAACAACTTCAGGTTACACTTTAAAGTTATTTTTTTGAGAGAGGTCTGAATAAAATTGGATCAATTGATTTCAATTGATGTCAATTGATTTTCAAGTTGCTTTCAATTGGTTTCAATTTACTTTGAATTGATTTTAATTGATGTTCAATTGATTTCAATAAATGTTCAATTGATTTCAATCTATTTTGAATTGACTTCAATTTACTTTCAATTGATTTCAATTTACTTTCAATTGGTTGAAATTTACTTTCCACTGATTTCAGTTTACTTTCAACTGATTTCGCTTTACGTTCAATAGATTTAAAATTATTTTCGATTTACGTTCAATTGATGATCAAATGATATCAACTTATATACTTTCAATTGATTTTCAATTGATTTCAACTTACTTTCAATTGATTTTCAATTGATTTCAACTTACTTTCAATAGATTTTCAATTGATTTCAATTTAGTTTGAATTTCAATTCAATTGATTTCAACTTACGTTCAATTGACATCCCATAGTAATCCCATAGAAATATCATAGAAATATCATGGAAATCCCATAGGAATCCCACAGAAATCCCATAGACAAATCATAGACATAACATGGAAATAGCATAGGAATCCCTCAGACATCCCGTAGTAGTCCCATAGAAATTCATGGAAACATCATGGAACTCCCATAGGAATCCCAAAGAAATCCCATTGAAATATCATAGAATTCCTATAGGAATCCAATGGAAATCCCATGGACACCCTTTTGAAACCCATAGGAATCCCGTAGAAATACCATTGAAATCCCTCCCATAGCAATCTCATAGAAATATCATAGACACATCATGGAAATCCCATAGGAATGCCATAGAAATCTGAAATCCAATGGAAATCCCACAGACATCCCTTTGAACTCCCAGAGAAATTCCAAAGAACCACCATGGAAATCCCATAGAAATCCCACAGGAATCCCATTGAAATATCATAGAAATCCCATAGACATCCTTTTGAAACCCATAGGAATCCCATAGAAATACCATCGACATCCCTTTAGAAATCCCATAGTAATCCCATAGAAGTATCATAGAAATACCATGGAAATCCCACAGGAATCCAATAGAAATCCCACAGATATATCATAGAACCACCGTAGAAATTCCAAAGAAACCTCATGGAAATCCCATAGAAATTCCATAGAATTCCCATAGAAACTTTATAGAAATACCATAGAATCACCATAGAAATCAAGGAGAGGATGCCAGAAGAATTGAAGTAAGTAAGAGACAAAAGCTATAGCAAAGGAAAGGAGAAAATGATTTTGGAAAAAACAATCACTTCAAAAAAAGCTTGACACAATAGAGGACCACCACAACAAACATACTATTGAAGATCAGGGTTGCTCATGGGCTACCCCCTTGAAAAATTGTGTGAGTGCTGCTTTTTAATGGGGTTATTTTAATAAAAAAATCCTATATTTTGGGAAATTAGACATTTTGAGAAATCCAAAAGAATGGAGATTAAAAAGTAAGATATAACAACTAAAGGAAAGGAACAGGAAAGGATAAAAGGATTCTGGAAAAATACTCAAAAAAAACTTGACACAATAGAGGACCACCACAACAAACATACAATTGAAGATCAATGCTGCTCATGGGCTACCCCCTTGAAAAATTGTTTGGGTGCTGTTTTTTTGGGTGTTTTAATAAGGTATCCTATATTTTGGAAATTAGACATTTTGAGAATTCCAAAAGAATGGAACTAAGAAAGTAAAAAGAGAAAAAACTTTAGCAAAGGAAAGGAAACGGAAAGGAGAAAAGGATTTCGGAACATTTTCACTTCAAAAAAGACTTGACACAATAGAGGACCACCACAACAACCATACAATTGAAGATCAATCTTGCTGATGCGGTACCCATTTGAAAAAAATGTTTGGGTGTTTTTTTGTTTTCATCAGGCATCCTATATTTTTTTGTATGTTCAAAAACATGTTGCACGTATTAATTAAATAATTAAGTAATTAATTATTTTTCATAAAATGCAAACAACTCCAAAAGTGAACAATATATACAAAATGCTGAACAAAACAAATTGGCCTCAGAAAACAAAATGCAACAATACCGACCCACCCCAACAAGTACACTGGGTCAGAATTATTTTGGGAAAACTTGACATAATACAGTATCCCCACACTGCCATAAATTTTCCCAGGGGCTTTCCCGATAACATGGCCATAACTTGGAAAAATCCAACATTTTCACAGCCAAATGATATCGACAATTCCAACAACGCAAGGGATATATAAGCTCCTAGCTGTTGAGGTAATCCAAGGAGTTGACGAAGTACCTCAAAAACCTGCAGTAAAAAGGCATCCCCTGCTGCTTTCCACGGGAATCTTAGAGCATCTTGAGTCCACAGAGTTTCAGCCGAGAAATCAGCAACTAACAGAATCAGCCGCACTGCAAAAGCATTGAAGAACTACTTTGGAAACATAGTGGAAAGAAAAAGAAAGCATCAAACACTAAGGTGACTAAGGCATGATTCTGCCTGCCTTTTCCCACAAGGCAGTCGGTTGAACCAATGATGCAGCCTCCCAGTCGAATGGTACATGACAAGCAGGTTCATCTCTGAAGAGAAACACCAAGAGCGGAGACAGCGACAGCAGCATGGTTTGCTGGATCATCCCCTCATTAATCGATCGTTTACCATTTGAACTCTAATATATACGTGTATATATATATACAATATATAATAATTATATAATGTTATATATATAATATAATGATATATGTATATTATATATATGTATGTATACTTATATATATATGAATCTTATATTTCATGGATTTTCCATTGCCATCGATTGTATCAGCTGTACCTTTTGTTGCTCCTCATAGTACTGACCAAGTTCTCCAGGGCTGAAGTCCTGCCGTTGCCATCAAGATTCATTTAACATCACTAACATCACCAATGTATTTTAATAATATTCATTGATATTCTAGTATCACTATCAATGTCATTGGTGATACTGTTGATATTCAAGTATTTTATCGACATTTAATATTCTAGTATCACTGTCAATGTCATTTAATATGATTTAATGCCATTCTAGGATATTCTAGCTACGAGTATTTCTAGGTCATTCTACTTAGTGTCCGCGATAACTCACTCGCTATGGCATGGAAAGCTTCGGTTTCAACACGAGAATTCACCAGTCCTCTCTGCAAACTCTCGCACAGAGTGCAGCTTGTCATCATCTTCACTGATGGAACCTTAGTCTTTCAGGAACATGAGGATCTGTCCATCGTTTCATGCAAGCCTTATCATTTCAGGAACGTACCAGAAGCAAGAGTAGGATAGGTCTATTCATTTCAACTTTAGATTTCACTACTTACAGTATGAAGATGTACGAAGCAGTTCTACTAGAACCCAAGAAAAGAATGAGTAGCCCATCTTACCCTAGAAGGTTGGAGAATTGAACTTAGATGACTTAGTAGGACTGCCCATTGAGCAGCTGCCCATTGGGACAACGAACAACCAGGCGACTGTGATTTCTGCTGCTCCGTCGAACGCTGGTTTTGCGACTCACTGTCATGGACTCCTGAAATGCACTGTCTGTCGTTGCCAGGGCGTACTGATTCGTTGAGTTGCTTGTTGTATTCCGTGCGCCTTCTGGCTGAAATGCAATGATAGTCTATAATGTCTATATACATGTCTGTATAGTGGACATGAATGTTCTATGAACATGATCGTGCATGCATTTACAGTTACTTCCCTGGTCTTCTATTGCAAAATGTAGATGTTGTTTTGCTTTCACAGACTTCCATGAATTGAGTCTTACAGTTACCACTAAGCCTTCTTGATCCCCTGCGAGACTTGACTTCAGCTTGAGGCCGACTGTGGCCAGTCCCAATCACTGGGCTGTAAACTATGGAACATGACGGAAAATGCCGGATTTGGAAGCGGTTGATATGGGATTGTCTGAAAACAATGTCATGTATATTCGGATAAAATTATATCTCGAATGGTGTTTGACATTTTTTGACCATATTCCCCCTTTGCGGGTATACGGTATACCCTTGTATACCCATTTTTTCAGACACATCCATATGATCACCATAAGGGTTCCCCTATTGAATGGGGGGCTGCCAATCGCATCAGCCATCAGTCCTCTTCTTCCACGAATTGTTTCATGCGGCATTCAGCCTCTGCTGCAAGGTCCGCATCTGACATGAGCATCTTTTCTGACCTGGCAGGGGAAGGTTGAGGGATGTTAAGGGCATCCAAGCCGCAGGGGTCTTCTTAGATCCCACATTTGATGAGTTGGGAAAGGTCAACTATTCTTTCTGAGTGCTATACGAAGATATACGAAGATATCCCTTTGACCAATATCTGATCATGGCCGTCAATTTTTGGAGCTGAACCAAGGACTACTCACTGGGAGATACTGGGAGTCTGTCAAACCGGACAATCCTTGGGTGCCTTCAATGAGATGGCTGGATCCTGCTGACACCCCTAATTCTTTCCTGCCTGAAAGTTGGGTTGGGCAACGCTTGTCTGCTGGATGGCAGCACGGTCATTTCCTGCAAAAGCATGAGAAGGCATAATGTGTGCCCGAAACCGAGCACGTTCTCACTTGTGTGGAGAGATAAAACACGAGTCTTTTAACCGGTGGCAATTGCGGAATAGTGTTTTTGTATGTGTCCCAGCCTCACAAATCAAACTCCAAGCGACATGCTGGTCCCAAAATAGATCAAAGTTGCTGACACTTCCATATGACACACCTAATTGCATCACCAACAAATTGCATGTGCCCTGTCTAATAGGGGTTTCATTCGACCGCTGACCCCAATCCCCGGAGCAGTCCGGAGTGCTCGAAGACAGGTGACTAATACGAGCTGGTGAAAGGAAGGCCTGACGTCAAAGGGACTTTGCTCTAATCACTGTTGCATGACTAGTCCCAAAACGTGCCACCACTAGTGATCAAACAACATTTGTGCTTCATCTTCTTTCGAAAACATATTATGTGTATGTATATACATTATGAACATATACATTATGAACATATACATTATGAACACAATCAAGAGTTGAAAGACCACACAGAATCACACAAATGGCATCTGACAAATCCGCCCACACCGCTTTGGCGGTGAAGGCGTGCTTATTGGGGTGCAAACAGCTACACTAAATGCTCAATCACATTTGTTAATATAGCAGTCGCTATATCAGCTTTAGCTGGGGGGGGGGGCCAAAAACGGTTTCGCACCGAGACCAGAATTCGGTGGTGTTTTCGACATTTTTCGAGGATTTTTGGGTGTCTGAGCGCAAGAGGGTATTGAAATGGAATTTTGGGTCATTTTGGTAGCTTTCCGGCAATGGAAAAACGGCCAAAAATGAAAAAAACATTGTACATAGCAAGATTTTGCAGGGTTTTTGGATGCCAGAGCATTGAAAACACTGCAAAAACAAGTGTTTTGGACTGACGTTATAGCAAAAAACGTGTAAATTACCGTATGCTTGACTGGAAGCATTACAAAAACACTGTCAAAAGCAATGTTTTGGAAGGATTTACTGCCTTTATGGCAAAAAACGTGTAAATTACCGTCTGTTTGACTGGAAACATTGGAAAAACACTGTCAAAAACAATGTTTTGGAAGGATTTCTTATATATATGTTGGAGTTGGCTACCGGCATTGGAACATGGAAAAATTGAAGAAAACACTGTAAATAGCGGTATTTTCAACGGTTGGGGAGATAAGGGAATTGGAAGCATTGTCGAACATGATGTTTTCGACCGGTTTTATGGCGACAAAAGTGTAAAGTACCGTGCTTTGAAGGAAACCATTGCAAAAACATGGAAACACATTCAAAGAACACGGAATTTGGGGGACTATCTAGGCGTCGTTGTCTAGCTATTTGAAATTCCGCAGCTTGGAGAGCCTCCAAGGGAGGGAAAAATGAAAATTCCATAGCTTGGGAAGCTGTCACGGCAGGGAAAAGTGAAAATTCCCTAGCTTGGGAAGCCCCCACGGGGGGGGAAAGTGAAAATTCCCTAGCTTGGGGAGCCCCCACGGGAAAGAGAAGGTGAAAATTCTTAGCTTGGGAAGCCCCCACGGGGGAAAAGTGAAAATTCCCTCGCGAAAATTCCCTAGCTTGGGAAGCCTCCACGGGGGGGAAAAATGAAAATTCTCGGCTGGGAAGCCTCTACGGGGGGGAAAAGTGAAAATTGCTTAGCTTGGGAAGCCCCAATTGGAAGGTCAATTCTCCTGTGCTGCTCTGCTCCTCATATTCCACACCACCCTTAGCCCCTCTCACGGACCGAAATAAACCTGCGGTGTGGGCGGCCACCCCACGCGAAGCGGGGTGAATACAACTCATGCTAACTTCCACTTACCTGACATCGAAGCGAAATGCACTCCTTTTGGGCGCACGAACATAGTTGAAGTCGTTGATGGTTTCGCACCCCCCAAAAAAAAGAGAAAGTAACGTTGTGAGCCCTTGCTTTTTGCAGGGTTCTGGAAATGCGGTAAAATATCAAATCTGGATGATGCATCTGTATGTCCATTTTTTTTCGTTGCCACCTTGTTTTGAAACATGTTCATTCTCCCTCCTGTATCCGCATAGTTTGAGCAGGTCTCTAGAGGATGGAGGAACTGAAAAAACTGGAAAAAACTGAAAAACTAAAAAGACCGAAAAAAATGAAAAAAAACATTACTTTCAGATAGATGGCCCTCCCCCCTCGATCTATCTGAAAATAACGTTTTTTTCAGTTTTTTCAGCTTTTTCATTTTTTTCAGTTTTTTCAGTTTTTTCATTTTTTTCAGTTTTTTCATTTTTTTCTTTTTCATCAGTATTTTTCAGTTTTTTTAGTTTCCGGAAAAACTTTTCGGAGCCGTTCGGAGCACTGCGGACGCTTTCGGAGCCATTCGGAGCCGTTCGGAGCAGTGCGGAGGCTGTCCCGAGCCGGTCGGAGTCGGTCCAGAGGGGTCCCCCTCCCTCTCTAGATCTATCCAAGAACTTTAGTTTTTATCAATTTTATCCTTCCCAACCTAGTCTATGAGATTGTTGGTTGCATGGCTCCTGTGTCGGCACCCACTGCGCTGCTTAGGCATGGTCGTGGAGCATGGTTGCGGAGCATGGTTGCGGAGCCGTGGCTATGGAGACTTGGTTGCGGAGCAAAGTCGTCGTAGCGGATTTCCCAGGACAACATCAGCCAAATCATCGACAAAACGCAAATCCATAAATGTCTAGTGGATTTCCATGGATTTTCCAAGTAAAACTAGTTTAAAACCTCATTTTTTTTAAAGTGTTCATCATTTTTCATGGATTTCCCCATGATTTTCCCCACCGACCCATTCGACCCGACCTTGGAGATGGATGGCAGCTCCGAAGAGTTGCGGGTCTCGATGCCTGGATCCATTTCGATGCCAAGGTCGGCCGGTTGACCATTCCCTCCTGTAACACATAATATGTATAGCATGATAATATGTATATATATATGACTATATATGACAAAGTATTTAATATATTTGTATATATATATACATATACATACTATATAAAATACCAATATAATACATTATGTATATATATATATGATTATGTGTGTGTGTAACATGTGTATATATATATATATATTACATACGTATTAGCACGTAAAACCAATGAACAAATACAAACAACAAGGATAAAAACAATGTAATAGCACACAATAATTGCAAACTGTTGTGGTATAAATAGACATTGTATGATAATGTGATAAATCTGCTAGTAGAACCAATACCAATAAATAGAAACAAATAGAAGTGTCTCCAAAGTTCAGCAAAAAAACTCGGCCAAGTGCATTGAAAAAGGTCTTTTACACACCCAAACTGCGGAACTCGTCATGAACCAACCACTGGCATCCCTGAGAAAACACTTCGTATGAATTTCCTCATAGATCGCTGACTCGTGATGGTCATTCCATAATGATTGTCTGCTTGCGAAAATCCGTCAATATCCATAAATTATACATATACATATACATATACATATACATACACATATACATACACATACATACATTACATTACATTACATTACATTACATTACATTACATTACATTACATTACATTACATTACATTACCATACATACATACATTACATTACATTACATTACATTACCATACATACATACATACATATCATTACATATCATTACATATCATTACAATTCATTACAATTCATTACATATCATTACATATCATTACATATCATTACATATCATTACATATCATTACATATCATTACATATCATTACATACATTACATGCATTACATGCATTACATGCATTACATGCATTACATGCATTACATGCATTACATACATTACATACATTACATACATTACATACATTACATACATTACATACATTACATACATTACATACATTACATGCATTACATGCATTACATGCATTACATGCATTACATGCATTACATGCATTACATGCATTACATACATTACATACATTACATGCATTACATATGCATACATGCACATGCACATGCATGACATGCATGACATGCATGACATGCATGACATGCATACATGCATACATGCATGCATGCATACATGCATTACATGCATTACATGCATTACATGCATTACATGCATTACATGCATTACATGCATTACATGCATTACATGCATTACATGCATTACATGCATTACATGCATTACATGCATTACATGCATTACATGCATTACATGCGTTACATGCGTTACATGCGTTACATGCGTTACATGCGTTACATGCGTTACATGCGTTACATGCGTTACATGCGTTACATGCGTTACATGCGTTACATGCGTTACATGCGTTACATGCGTTCCATGCGTTACATGCGTTACATGCGTTACATGCGTTACATGCACTACATGCGTTACATGCACTACATGCACTACATGCACTACATGCACTACATGCACTACATGCACTACATGCATTACATGCATTACATGCATTACATGCATTACATGCATTACATGCATTACATGCATTACATGCACTACATGCACTACATGCACTACATGCATTACATGCATACCATACATACCATACATACCATACATACATGCATACATACCATACATACCATACATACCCATACAATACCAATACATACCATACATACCAGACATACCATACATACCATACATACCATACATACCATACATATACATACCATACATACCATACATACCATACATACCATACATACCATACATACCATACATACCATACATACCATACATACATACATACATACATTACATACATTACATACATTACATACATTACATACATACATACATACATAACATTACATAACATTACATAACATTACATAACATTACATAACATTACATAACATTACATAACATTACATTAGAATACATTACATTACATTACATTACATTAGATTACATTTCATTTCATTACATTACATTACATTACATTACATACATACATACATACATTACATACATTACATACATTACATACATTACATACATTACATACATTACATACATTACATACATTTACATACATACATTTACATACATACATTTACATACATACATTTACATACATTTACATACACACATACATACATACATTACATTACATTACATTACATTACATTACATTACATTACATTACATTACATTACATTCATACATACATACATACATACATACATTACATACATACATTACATTACATTACATTACATTGCATTACATTACATTACATTACGTTACGTTACGTTACGTTACATTACATTACATTACATTACATACATACATTACATACATACATTACATACATACATTACATTACATTACATTACATTACATTACATTACATTACATACATACATACATACATACATTACATACATACATTACATACATACATTACATACATACATACATACATACATCCATCCATCCATCCATCCATCCATCCATCCATCCATCCATCCATCCATCCATACATACATACATACATACATACATACATACATAACATACATACATAACATACATACATAACATACATACATAACATACAAACAAACATACATACGTACATACATACATACGTACATACATACGTACATACATACATACATACATACATACATACATTACATACATTACATACATTACATACATACATACATACCTACATACATACATACGTACGTACGTACGTACATACATACATACATAGGCATATAATATATATATATACATACATACACATATTATAATTCATATTAATGATGATAAAACCATCATGACACAAGATCCATGAATTTTCTGCTCTCCGAAAAAGCGACAGCCAGCTAAGGGGCCTGAGCTGATGCTGAGGGGCACCTGTTGCAGCAATTTCTCCACGAACGCATCCTGCTGGGATGGTCACAGCTTTTCGATTCATCGTTTTGTCATACGTTGCGGGAAAAAATCATGTGGGAACCCCGAAGATCACAGCGATTTTTGATGATTTTTGGATAGTTTATTGATGTTTATTGATGTTTATTGATGTTTATTGATGTTTATTGATGTTTATTGATGTTTATTGATGTTTATTGTTGGCTTCACAGATTCTTCAGCCCATTCGTCTGGATAAAACATGATAAAACCATTGTACAGCTGCTCAAGAAACGCACCGCACCTGTTCAGATTGCCGCTGTGAAAGGAAGTCAGACCACTCCTCGCAGCAGAGAAATTTGAATCTGTGGTCCTGCCCTAAGCGTGTAGAAAAGGACGAACAAACTCCGCAAAACAATATTTTCTGATTATACATCTGCCTAACAGTGTTAACTGTGGTGAGGCATCGAAAATTCGACCATGAGTGCCATAAGGACTCTAACCTTCTCAAAGGTTCTGTCCTCCCGTAACGTAGCCCATTGGCGCCCTTAGCAAAGCCGTCCCTACGGCATGACTGATCCACAAGTGTACAAGTATTACAAGTTGCCAAAGAGCTTGATCAAGTCCCAATTTGTTGCGGAAAATCCTCGTATTTCTTGATTAGATCATGTAGATTCATTTCGTATCATTTACCCTCTGGTAAACATACAAAAAGCTATTGAAAAAATGGCCATTGATAGTTGATTTACCCATGAAAAATATTCAAAAATGGTGATTCCCATTGATTTCCCATAGTTTTTTGTATGTTTACCAGAGGGTAATCCCATGTAATCCCCGTTGTTGTTGGTCAGATCACCATTTCCGTGGATCCCATGGGATCCCCACGGAGCTCGGCGCGGCGGTCAAGTTCAGAGCCTTCCTCGGTTTGCGGTTTGCCATTGAACACATGTACTTGGATAGCCTCTGGTAAATACACATATAACTGTCATATAACTTATATAACAATGGAAAATTGCCATTTATAGTTGATTTATAGTTGATTTATAGTTGATTTATAGTTGATTTATAGTTGATTTGCTGATTAAACATGATTGACATGGTGACTTTCCATGGCTATGTTAGTTTGCCACAGGATATCATGGGATTAAGCTGGACGAAAATATCACTCACCAACCTGAAATTTGGCGGCATTTTGGGAAAGTCACCCCGAGAAAAAAACACCATTCCTGTGACGTAGCAGTGAGGTCATTGTCATTTATGCAGATATCATGGGACTAATCTAATATCTTTGAAAATCAAATACTTGAATTTTATCCACCCTTGTAGTGAAAATCGACAATTAAACCAGGGGCAAAATGAGTACCCTGGGAAGGAAACCAACAATGGGATGTAATGGGATGTAATCAACACTGTCCTTGTGGGGAAAATTGACTTGGGCCGGTCTGGTTTGCCCAACCAATCATCTACCCGGAATGGTTGTGAGGGGGGCAACCTCTCTATTAATCAACCAACCAATCGCAAAGTAATAGGTTTAGTAAACCAACCACATGATAGCGGTAGCGGCTATCATGGGAAATACATGATATACTTAGACATACGTGTATTTGGGACGAAATTAGGCGGGAAACATTTGGGTTGAGTTGATTATTAGATTTACTCCCCATACCATTAGCCAGTCTAGATGGCAAAATATGGCAAACCGATTTTCAAAACATGTATATATATATATATGTAACATGTATATATTCTGTATATGCATGTGTATGATCATATATATATATACTTTTGTGTGATATATGTGTGTGTCTTCTTTGACTGTAGATGTATTGGTTGGTTGTCAGGTGGGTCCAGTTGTTGGGTCTAATCTACGTGGACAACCGTCCTGTTCTTTAGGTTCCCACCTGGTCAGGAAAGGGCCTAGGTGTTGATTCTTGGGAGTCTTGATAGCGATGATGTTAATTGATTATATTTAATATATTTATATAATCATCTATCAAGAATCATCTCAATTTTTGGGGGTTGATAGCGTAAACTCGCGACAATCAACAAACAACCTATACAGAACAAACAACAAGTAAATTACGTTTCTGTCGTGTTGGGGGCTACTATAGATTGCTCTCCTGTAAACTACTAGAGATGTGGACAACCCACCATTTGCAGCTCATTTTTCTAGGGAAACCCATGTGTTTTTCACATCTATCTTAGTCTATCCAAGGGTAAATCATACCATCAAGCCAGTCCCACGGCACCTCCGTGGTTGACCCAACCTGCACAGTGTTCTGAATCATATCCACTGGTGCAATTTCCATATGATTTTGGTTGGTTCAAAACTCATCTTTGTCGGTAAAGTTTTCACAAACTTCCCTTAGGATTTAAGCAACAGCCAGATGAAGCTCCCCCGGCGGACAGCCTGACTCTTTGCGTAGCTCTCACCTACGGGTTTTTGGACGACTGAGGGAGACATTCCAGGAGCATAGACAGCAACATCCACCGTAAACTCATGGGTAAAATGATGCAAAATCAGTCAAAATCTGAAGGAATGGCAAGGAATGGCATGGAATGGCTATGTGACCCTTAGAATCCCTTAGATCTTTTGATCTCCTCATTGGCATTTTATACACCAGCCCAGGTCTGCACTTTTCGCCCCAAGCCCTGGTGAAGCCAGGCCTTCTGATCGGGAGAGGGACATCTTCTGGGCAAGATGCAGATTTCATACGCAGAGGTTCTAGTGGAGATGGAATTCAAATTCACATATGTTATTCAAATTCTCCTGGGCTCTAGTTTCTGTTCTGACTTTGAAAATGCCAAAATCGGTCAATCATGGTCAATCTGTCCTGCGATGTCCCGCGCTGTTTGTTTGGTTCATGGCTAAATCATGCTAAATCTGATTCTTTAGTATCTGGTTCTGCTACCATCATCCAAGAAGGAGTTCTATGGATGCCGCAGAAACGATTAGTTGACCGCTCTTCAGTTCACTGTGCGAAGTTCATGTTTCACACTGGTCGTCTTTTTCTGAGCCACAAATGAGCAAGTGCGCCATGAGATATAAGTTGCGAGTTCCAATGCAAGAAGAGTCCGCAGATATCCAGCAACCCAAGTCCATTAAATGCAAGGACTTTAATTCCACTTCAACAATCCAAACATCCATCAAGTCATCAAGTATTGCATGCTAAAAGCCACATCTTCGCTAGATCTGAAACATATCACTTGCAAGCAACAACAATTGCCTGTTCAATACTTCAGCAGCTTCTCTTAGCCAACAAAAACCTCTTGCCTTAGACCTGGCTGTGTTCTTTGCCACTTCCATCTTTTTTTCCATTGTTTTTCTATCTTTTTTCCTCTATAGCTGCCCTCTTCCTGGCGTCTTGCTTCGTCTGGCCTCGATTTTCGAGCCCACGACGAAAACGCCGCGACGGACGCCAGGCGAGCGGGCGAGCCGCGAGCAGCCCGTCGCCTTTGGCGGGACCAGCTCTGACTGTTTGGAATTGTAGCTGCAACACCTAGGACCTAGACCTCAAACAACCACGCTTTGAGTTGGGGTCAGTCCTAGTCTTTCGAAGTTTGTAGGAGGCACAACTCACTAGACACATATAAAAATCATATTTCACTTGAACATGTTTTCAAGTGTTCATCTCCACTGTGCTGCGGTGTTTCTTCAACGGACGACCATGTCGGCATTGTTAGAATTAATGTAATTAATGCTGGATGGTCTATTGTTTAATTTGTGGAATACTTTACCTAATTCATGACCATCAAACCATCCCACTAATCAACATAGCTTCCATGTATGGCATTCTTTCATGTAGCTTGCAACGAACTGACGACGCCCATCGTCAGTGCCAGCAGCTGCTAATCACCTTAGTCAGGACATCCAGTGGATCAAATGGTCATTATCTCCACCGAACCGATTCAACATTCACAGTCTCACGCTGTGGAAAAAGGCCATAGCCTTATAAGATTCTAAGATTGGGCCCGCTGGCGGCTTGAGACTGTTGAGGATCCAGTCCATGAACTCCGCTCCTGGCACCTCAATGGATGTGGTGAACGCCCGCTGCTTAAAAATATACGAGTCAGTGGTGGATTATCTTAGGAATCAGGTCCCTGAGGCCTCTTGAGCCATAGGCCATAGCCCATTGGAACCACCAAGCCGTTGATTTGCTT